GCTCGTTCTAACACGCCCCCACATGTCTACGTCACTGTGTGGGAAGATTTGCATAACGCCGCCCAAATGTTTACGCAAAGAAAGAAGGCGTGACTTTTATTTTCGCTGTAGTATTGTTGCCGCCGCAATGTTGTGAAGACGCTGTGTGATTCGTTGTGAAAGCGAAACTACTTTGTTAGCACTGGAATTATTTCAAATGAAAAAAATTATAATAATAATATAAAATAGATTTTAAAAAATAGATTAAAAATAGATTAAAAATTAAAAACAGTTATTTTAAATTGTAATATTTCACAGTATTGCTGTATTTTTACTGTATTTTAATCAAATAAATGCAGCTTTAGTGAGAAAAAGAGACCTCTTTTAAAAACTTTTTTTTTTAAATCACACTACCTCTGTGTTTTGAACATTGAGGTTTTTTTTTGTGTGATTTTTCCTTACACAAGTCATTGTGTTCGACATATTCTACATACTGTATGTGCTGCCTCATGGACAACAGATGCAAGTAAAATTTGTATTTTCCAGTGTTTTGGACCCTGTACACAGCACCATCCTCTCTTTTGCAGGTATCAGATTAACGCACGCACAGAGCTGGCGGTGAGGTACAATGACATCTCTCCTCTGGAGAACCATCACTGTGCCGTGGCCTTCCAGATATTCTCTCAGTCTGACTGCAACATCTTTGCCAACTTTGATCCTGAAGCCTTCAAACAGATTCGTCAGGTGTGCCTCTGGCCTTTAAACTGAGCTTTGTGAACACATAATTAATACATTTGTCTTTGAACAATGAATAATGATTTGGTCTGTTATTTTGTCTCTGACAGGGAACCATCAACCTGATACTGGCCACAGACATGGCCCGACATGGAGAGATTCTGGACTCTTTCAAACAGAAAGTGGATTACTTTGACTTCACTAATGAGGAGCATGTTACTTGTGTAAGCTTTCTGAACTCATTTAACAGTATCTGTATTCACCTACAAAAATGAGCTGTGATGAGCTTATTAAACGTGTATGTTTATATCTGTGACAGCTAAAGATGGTGTTGATCAAGTGCTGTGACATCTCTAATGAGGTTCGGCCGATGGAGGTCGCTGAGCCGTGGGTGGACTGTTTGCTGGAGGAGTACTTCATGCAGGTAAAAAAATAGTTCATCTAAAAATACTCAAAATGTACTCATTCTCAGGCCATGCAATATGTATATGAGTTTGTTTCTTCATCAGAACATATTTGGAGAAATGTAGCAATGCATCACCTGCTCACCAATGGATCCTCTGCAGTGAATGGGTGCCGTCCGAATGTGA